GTAGTGTCATTCCATTTTAGCCGTGTCGTGATAAAACAGAAACATCTGCTCCACATAGTAATGAAGTGCAAGTGCGCATGCTTACACAGAAGTGTCTGCTTCCTGATGGCATGTTTTACTACTTTCATCTCACTCTCTTCCATCACGCGACTGTCTTCCAACCCTGTGAAAGTGCTTGTCTGGGTGTTTTACTACAAAACAACAATATTCGAAAAACTGCTATTTTGCCCATAGGGTTAGATTGCACGAATCGGCAAATGCAAGACAATATTTGTTATATTGTAAAGCGGAAACGCCTGCAAAGGGAGGCGGGTGTGCCGATGGCCTACAAGGCCGCACCTTCCAGCTGGGCAGAACCAACTGCGTGCGAGTGCAAACACCAAAACTAGCGGAGGAAAGCCAAAAACATAGAAGTCAGTAAGTCGAAACGAGCACGTCTGTTTGCATGCTCGCAGGTGGAAGTTGTGTAGTGAAGAGACTAAGTGCTTGCAACTGACGACAAGGTATAAATAAATTCATTTTGTGTGACGCGGTTTGATGTTCTGGCGAATCTATCTCCGAAGGTAGAATAACACAAAGTGATAAAATTACACTTGAACTCACAGAATTGGACTCTTTTAGTCACTTGTGGTTCTCATTTAACTCATCCCTGGCATAGGGACATTTGTCCAGGAAGTTTCTACCAATAAACTGTAATATAATCTAATGCATTTAAAAAATCGTGATTCACAGGCCTTGTAGCGCCGATGCCTCAAGAAGGGGCAGAGTTCAACCAATTTTCGGTGTGCCACTTACGAAGCAGGTGGAGATCGGGCAGCCGCGAGTGCACAAAAACCTCATTTTAATATCAGCAATCGCTATTTACCCAGTGGGCTATATCCGCCTGGCAGTTTCTTCGTCAGGCTACATATTTTGCTTAGACCAAATGACTAATTCCCTCGTATGAACCATTTATGACTTGTCCAGAATGCCGACTTTTTTCATAGAGAATCACACTTAGCGAAAGCTGCGTGTCTTCTACAAGTCTTCTGGGCGTCTCCTACGCACGCTTAGAATTAGGGAAGAAGAGTTTTATCGTTGTCGAAGTTAAGAGGTGTACAAGGCGTCCATAATGCTATAGGCCTTCCCGAGGAAGTTTGATGGAATTCCGGAATAGTAACTCTGCTTTAAGATAGGTGTAATGAATTAACCAAAAAACTAATATAGTTAAAGCACGTTTTGGTACCTGGCACAAAAAACCAAGTTAAGATGTCGCAAGTCGATAGAGGCAAGTCGCAGACGTTTCACATACTGCTAAAGAGTGCACACGATGATGTCACGTAATGCATTGAGTAACTGTAAAAAGACAACTTTCATACCCAAAACTACTGTGCGGTATAGAAATACGTGTCATATGAAGTCGGATTTCAAAATTACTAGCCTTTTTTAGCTTTGAACAACCACATTTTAAACTAGTTGGATTATCCACTTCGAGCAGTTTAACCGTAATGAGCTTACGCTGTTGGAAGCAGTGTTGGTGTTGTTGGGGTGGCAAAGTCTGAGTGCTTATGGGACACCCTCCGCCCCCACCAACGTAGACCGAAGTCGCAGGAGGAGGCGGGGGTCCCACCATGGCCATCAACGAGCCCCCGCTCGCCTCGCCCGCATAGTGGTAATTGCCTTGAGAGTAACGCTGCTGTGATTGTTGTGGAGCGTAGGGTGCTGATTGATTGTGGTGCTGATGAAACACGGTTTGAGGTGGAAAACAGCTTGACGCCACTACAGGAGACATCCGTCCGCCGCTCGTATCCATTGGCAACGGTGGCGGAGTATTGAGCGTTTCCGCCTTATGCCCCCCGCCGCTGGCCGACGAGTCGTCAGGCGTCGCCGTGAGTCGCAAAATGAGGGTTCCCGCGTAGGTAGAGATGGCTTCGTTGCGCGAATTCGCTAGTTCATTCAGACGGATCGAAATGCCTGGAACCGAGGCGACTGCATCTAAGGAGTCGCGATCTTGGGCTACTTCGACCAGAACACCAAGAGTTGCTCGGTGAACGGATTCATTGGTCGAGATGCACAGAAGATGAACGAAAATAGTCAGGCCTGGAGTGCATGGACCGCCGTAAGACAAACCCGGACAGTTCAGGTTTGGTGCCTTGAAATTTGGGTAAAACAGAAATGTTAAAAAACTAAAAGTTGTAATGAGTTGCCAGTAGTGATGTGAATGCAATCTTGTGAACAAAGAACGATAAATCATAAATCAAGGCTTTGGCAATATATACATAATTCACAAATAACTCGAGGGTTTTAGCACTGTGAATAAAGGAGATTAAAATATAACGCAGTAACGGTACTCAAGGTCCATTCTCATTTACACGACGGCATGGAACACCAAACAAACAGATGAAGTGGGCAACAAAAAAGATCTTTGTCAAAACACTCAAGAGAGCTGCCTAAATCTATCCCATTTGAACAACCTCTAACTATAAGGAAGGTCCGGGTACTGCGAAATTTTAGCACAATTTTGGCGCCTGTCGCCCCTCAAAGGTCAAAATTATACACGCAGGGACTGAAAGGCAGCATATGTCCCAACACGAAAAGTGCTTTACGTACAATGGCTGACGGTTTAGCTCACCAAGCTCATTCTGAACTAAGAAGCGTGTTATAAAAATAATGCTTTTGACCATATCGACTCCTAAGGCGGTAAATAACTTATGGAGAATTTTAATCGGAAACCGC